TAATAATAATAATAATAATAATATGAGAAAAATACCAATAAAACCCAATAAAAATATTTTTAAAATTACTATTATTAAAATATTAATACTAAGACTAATATATAATAATAATATGAATTTAAAAAATCGAGAATTTTGTATTATTTATACGGTAACAATAATAATATCAGCAAAAATTTAAACAATACATAATGTTAATGCTAAGACTAATAATTGATATTAAAACTAACGGTAATAAAAACAATAATAACAATGACACCAATAATAACAGCAATATTATTGTGGCCGAGTTGACTTGTGGCCGAGTTGACTTGTGGCCGAGTTGACTGCAGCCGAACTTTTTGTGGACGAGTTGATTTGTGGCCGAGTTGACTTGTGGCCGAGTTGGATCGAATTCAGCCTAGTTAGTAGTATAGTATTTTAGTAGGCCTACTTACTAGGCCTCTAGCCTCTAGGCCATTCCTAACCCTAACAATAGGCCTACTACATCCTAATGATTCCCTGACTGACAAGTGGGAAGGCCTCTAACTCTAGCTATAGTAGTAGGAGAGACAAGAAATAGACGCACGCGACCAACCACCGCCCTAAAACAGTAGACTGTCGGCTACCTAGTTAGGTCCAGGGCTTGCCCAGGCCTAAATACTTCCACTACCAGTACTACCAGGGCCTAGCTAGCCGCCTAGCCTAGACAATGCATTTAATGTTCAAACTGTTTAGGAACCAGAGCTTATTGCGAGATACATCATTAGGTGATTAATATGAAATTGAAAGCCATAGGCCTATACTTACATTTATTTGGATCAAACTCCTGTTGAGCTAACCTTTTTCGTAGCATTACTGCAGCAGCCATTTTTCGCTACTTTTGTTTCCTTTTGTGGGTGTGACCTTGTGAGGGCGCACTTTCTCAAAACAAAGAGCAGATGGAGAGGTCAATCATCAAGAGTTAATGACACCATTGATTGATATGTAAGCAGCAAGGTGGTTGTGTTGAGAGTTATGCCATTATGGAGGTATACAATAAACATTTTTGAAATACTGTAATATTAATTGTTGAAGATTTTTTAAATAATATCACATAAATCTGTGAGTATGGATTTGTTTCAAACGATGGAGCCATGCTGCTATAAATTAATGCAGATCAAGATGTAAGAATAAGATAGGCCATACTACTACTGGGTAGCTTCTTGTCAGGCTGACCTCCGCAGAAAAGGAAAATACAGTACGTAGGCCTAGTAAAGTAGGCTAGTCCATGACCCAATTTCTGCTGTTTAGGTGATTAATTGACCCATTGACACAATATGACCAAACTTCCAGTAAAGAAGGATGGAAGTCGTGATGGGATGATATCAGAAAAAAAGGCCACATCATACCGTAAGCCTAGAGTGATACTACATTACCAAAAATAGGAGTTGTATTACAGTATTGCAGTGTGCGAGTTAAGTTGTATAGTACTCCTACCTACATCTCCCTACTCCTACTAACTAGCCTGATCTTACTGGGTTACTAGTTTCCCTTAACTACTACTACAGGACCGAGTCAAAGCACTCGGTGCTTATTAGCCCCTCTTGTAAATAAAGTCACTATTAGCATATATATGGTGCAAACTTCAGTGGATGGTTGGACCATGGAGGTATTATTGTGAAGGAGAACACTTGAAAAAACATAAGTGCACGCAGCGCTATGCGATGAACCAAGAAAAAAGCTGCCGCAACGCGTGAAGAACGTTTGCACGATGCCTTTGAAGTCTGAGACATCAAGGCACCAAATGCTCAGCAGGCTTAGATTACCAAAAAATTGAACATGGCGAAATAGAGAGCACGTTCTTTTCTCATTGCGCACTACTTACAGTCAATCACTATGGCTGTGACATTTTCACAATGAAGCTAATACATCGATCTTTCAAGAAATACTAAACATAATAATATTTTCTAAGAAAAAGAGTTTCGAATTTAATGAAACATTTACATCAGCTTTAAAAGTATGGTATATTTCAACTTGAATTTCCATAAATTGGATAAAACTCGATAATTCTAATTTTAACAGATATTAATTAAGGAATGTTGAAAGATTATAATAAACTAAGTCATTTTAGGGTTAACTATTCGAAAAATCAATCCAAAATCAGAGTCATTTTCAGTTTTAAGCTGCCTTAGCTTTTTAGTCGAACCAATCGATCTTTAGACAAAATTATAATGAACACAGAAGTAATTTCCACAGGAATATTTTGCAGAATCTGTTCCTGAAATATACACAAAATAACATACTAAAATTTCCAAAGCAAGACCACCCTTCTAGATCTTGCTTGGACATAGGAACTGTACTGTAGCCAATGAATAATAAATAATTTTAAAATTTTCAATTTCAGAAATTAGCTGTCAATGGAGAAGGGAAGACATGATTGATCAGTATCAGATTGTAAACTAAGGCCTGCGTAGAGAATATATCCTCCGGGAAAAAATTAGGCTAGAAATCCATCAGCGCATATCAGAAGATAGGCAAATATGTCCGCCCATATTTTTTACCCGAAAATTAGGTCTTGATCTATTTATATATAACTAATTTATTCTCGTGGTTATGATTCTGTGCACCTATTTTCCTAGCAAATTTGAGCTAGTTTTTGAAGTCTGTGCATTTATATTTACAGTATGCGGTCAGTACCCTGGTACATAAACGTTACACTAGCAACAATAATAATGAAATAATTTTTTATTTGTTCTGTTCCTAGACTAATTCAAGATTTATGTGGTAGATTAACATAACATTAGCGCCAGTTCAATCAAGAAAATCACATCCTAGCCAGCAATACCACCAGCAATCTTAAAGTATGCCCAAAAAACTTGACGATGGTTGCCTTCTGCACCATTCTGCCAAACACACCAACGAAGCATTCATTGCCATGGATAAGATGCGTCATAGCGGTGTGCTCTGTGACATCACATTGAAGGTCGAAGGTCAAAATATCAATGGTCATAAACTGGTGCTAGCCTCTTGCAGTCCATACTTCCATGCAATGTTTACAAGTAAGTGTTCATTAAAAAAATATAGGCTTACAAATTTTACTAATTTTTATTCATTATGGAAATAAATGAATAATGAAGGAAATCACTAAAGATATTGTCTTCAATATTTGGATTGATAATTTTGTATCGACAGTGTAGCGATTTTATGGAAACCAGGCTTAGTGGATTTATTATATAAGTAATACAGTTAACGTTTTCTTTTACTGCTTCACCTTCAAAAATGGCTGCTAGTAAAACAATTTAACGATCTTATAACTCCTTAGAATGTCTGTAAATCAGTGAAAAATTGTTTTGTTCTTTTATTTCATTCATTAGCTTTATATTCGATCTTTCAAAAGAAATACAGTTCATACTGTACTGTAATGGGTATGTGCCAGTCTGAACAGATCATCATAAAAAAACGATCCGTTGCACGCGCATTGTTGGGGCTATTTGGGATTGTGGGCCCCAGCTTACTTTTGTTTAGTTGAAAACCCATGCCCCGTTTAATGCAGATGTCATATGTGGCAAACCAGGCTGCATTTCCTGACTGTTGCCTAACATCATACATCCCTTTAATAAAGTAGGCCATTTGTCCTTTTTTTTCTTCTTTGCTAGATATGGATTTCTTTAGACCACTCGTAGAGTGCTCTTATGCCACCATGTTTGAGGACAAAACATTTGCTATCAGAGGCTTCATTTCTCATGTATATTGAAATTAAAAGTAAAACCTTAAAATACAAACCTTAAGATGAGCCGGCTATTGAATCATTGATGCTCTCGCTTGATTTTCAAATGACGTCAAATTAACCAAACGTGTTTCCTTTCTTTAATTTTCAGACAATATGAGTGAATGCAATAGGTCAGCGGTCACTCTCCATGACATTGATGCAGAGGCTGTTGCAAAGTTGATCCAATTTGCATACACTTCAGAGATTATTATTAGTGATAAGAATGTCCAGGTACTGTAACAAAAAAATATATTTATAAATAAATAAAATAATTTTTGTAAAAATAATTGTTTAAAATATAAAATAAAAAAGAAAAACTCATACTCACCAAAAACATAAACAGTACCGTTTCTGTGGCCAGTCAATGTGCAAAAAAAAAGCCAAACCACTCCTCACAAAAATCAATTTCTTGTTATAAATACAGGGTTAAACAGTAAAATGAGAGCTATAAAATGGTAATTTCAGAAAAAATAAAAGTTTTTTTTTAAATTTTTATTACTCCTCCGCTGCCTTGAAATTTTCAAAGATAAGATATGTATATTTCTTCATAATTTTATAAATTTGAAGCATTTAACCATCCTATTTTACATTCACCAATAAAATTTATTTTTATTTTCTCCTCTGGATGTTTTTGGCAAAATTATTTGCTAAATAAGAAAAAAATTTAATTTTTATTTTTATTCCGCCCTCCTCCGATGATCTTTAAAAAAATAAGTATGCAAAACAAGATGTAAAAAAAGGCTCGCCTTATCATTGAAACATGACTTGCGATGAGTAACTGGTTTGGCTTGTCTTTGCCAAAAAGTTTCATAGTAATCATTTTTAAATAAATGATAACTTGTGAAATTTATGAATTTTATTGGAAATCGATATCTTTGTCAAAATATCTGTTGAGCAACTTTTTCTGCTTTATACTTTGTAGTCACTCCTTCCAGCAGCGAACCTTCTTCAGCTGCACAGCGTCCGTGACGCGTGCTCCAAGTATCTCCTCTCTCAGCTAGAGCCCTCAAATTGTCTTGGTATACGGCGTTTTGCCGATGCCCATGCTTGCCAAGATCTTTTCCGTTATTCACAAGAATTTGTTCTGCGTAATTTCAATGAAGTTGTCAATTCAGAAGAATATATCCAGTTGTCGTTAACAGAGGTAAATATAAGTATTCTTTTATTTTCACTATAAACACTTAAGAATGGTTTGTCAAACTTGTTGTATACAATGATTTGCTTTTTAGCATGCCTTAAATGAGATGCAAAAGATCATTACAGGCTGGAACCAAGTGCATCACTAAGGTCACACGTAAACATATATCACAATTCACATAAGTTGAGACAACTAACTGTATAATTCTCAGATGAGAGTAATATCATATCAAAATTTTTACATAATTTATATTCACACTATTACTTTTCATCTCTCAACTGAATTCTGAGTGACTAGGTCTGAGACCATCAAATACCTACTTCTACCCCATACTCTTAAAATGCTTGCTAAGTCCTTAGTATTACCTCTTTTTGATTATTGTTGTTGTGTCTGGTCAAATTGTAATGTTCAATATTCTAATTGTTTACAAGTTCAAATGAACAGATCTGTCTCTTATATTATGTAGAATTGTTTTGTCTGTTGATATTTATACTTCTGTTGATGTTATGTTAAGTTCACTTGCATGGAAACGACTACATGTAAGGTGGAATGAACAGATAGCCTTAATGACTTTTAAATGGTATGCGCCATCTTATTTATCATCTAAATTTAAATTTAATATCGAATCCCATTCAAAATGTACACGTAGTCAATCTCATAATAACCTTTTTGTACCACAATGGAATAACTGTCAAGGCAAGAGAACTTGTCTCTTATACACATCTAGATGTGTATAAGAGCCAGATTCTAACCTACT